TGGGACTCCACCTAACAGCCCGGGGCAACGTTCTCGATGTCTCGATGATGCCTAAGGCAGGGTTCATCCTCGAAATTCCTTTCCGCGTATAGAGAAGAGCGTTCCCCGAGACTTCGCATTCTTTCCTAGATGCTCAACTTTATACCCGGAAGCCTGCCTTGTCGTGGATTTTTTAACGGGCCTCGAAACGGTCGGACAAAAGAATGCGCGTATTCGCAGTCGCGAGCGAGACGGACGAGTAAATAAACGAACGGCGTTCGCTTATGTCAGGGGTGTCAGACTCAAAAGCTAACTTGGACGAAATGAACAATGCTTAACTTTAGGTGGGCCGCAAAAAAGAAATCAATGTTATTATTAATTATTGTTTTACTAGTATTAATAAAACTAGTATTAATAATAAACAAATATTTTCATTTTGACTAGTATTAATTATTGTTTTACTAGTATTAATAATAATAATAATAGTAATATTTTATTAAATTAATAATAATAATAATAGTAATATTTTATTAAATTAATAATAATAATAATAGTAATAATAATACTATTAAACTAGTATTAATTATTGTTTTACTAGTATTAATAAAACTAGTATTAATAATAATAATAATAGTAATATTTTATTAAATTAATAATAACAATAATAGTAATAATAATACTATTAAACTAGTATTAATTATTGTTTGTAATTATTGTTCACGTCCTGATACTTGACATCTCTTCTCCGATACTATCTTTCCTATTTCGGGAGAAATTTGATTGGCCGAGACTACTTTCAAAATTTCTAATTCACATTTCTATTTTATTTCTACTTTGCGTCGAATATATTGACCGGGCCACAAAAGTGTGTTCATCTCGGGCCGCGACTTTGACATCCCTGGCTTACGTCGTTCTTCCCTTGCGCGGGCGAATCTGATTTTTTTCTACCGCGCGCCGTTCGAAATGCTAGACGTAGGCGCACGAGGCAGGCACCTAAAAGCGTGTCCTCGCGCAACAGCTCTAATCGGGTGCGATCAAGAATTTCGCGATAAGACTGTCCCGTCTGTCGAACCATAGAATTGACAGCAATTGTACGTGGATCCGTTATTGGTATCTGTCGCTACGGCTACCGGTTGCCGCTGCCGATGCGACGACGCGACGCGACGCGACGCGTCGACGTAAAATAGATCACGGAATTACAAATGAATACCAAAACCGGAACTCTTCGTCCGACGGAGAAAACGACGAAAATTTTAACGATTTTCCGCGCACGGTCAGCGTACCGCGCGCGGAATTTTATTGCCAGAATTTTTTCCATCCATTTTTCCGTTCATAGTTTGATCGCGTTACAAGAAACATGTTCGAAATGTTACGCAACCAGAAAATATGTTTTGCGAGAATGCGTTGCAAAAATATATGGGTTGCGAAAAATATTTCGGAAAAATAATTTGCGGAGCTCCGGAATCGATGTGTTCGAGCGATCGCTTTTTAAAATTCGTAGCCACCCGATCCACGAACCTATTTCAACAACACCGGAACCAAGAGATTTCTTTCGCGAGTCGAAATCACGTTGAAACGCGATACACGCACAGCTTATATTCAATCGTGCCGTTGCACGAGCGCGAACGCTTGTGTCCGCGAATTCTACAAAATGAACGAACAGCTTGTGGCTTCTGCGAGCGTTTCGATGCCAGCGAGACAATGATCGTGCCGGGCTAGGCCAACTATTGGGTTGGCAACTAAGTAATTGCCGATTTGTTCAATGAAATGAAAAATTTTTTTTACTTGGAACGAAGTTTAATCTGTAATGTATTTTCCATTTTGTTCGACGACCTTTCGCCATCTCTCTGACAACTTGAAAATTCCACGCTCGTAGAAAGTCTGATCCTTTTCGGCCAAAAACTGAGTTAAGCGAGATTTTACAGCGTCGTCATCGTTAAAAGTTTTATCGCGAAGGGAGTTGTCCAGGGATCGAAATTAGTGGTAATCCGATGGCGCGAGATCAGGGCTATATGGTGGGTGTAACAACAATTCCCAACCAATATCCATCAATTTTTGCCGAGTGGACAAAGACGCGTGCGGCCTAGCATTGTCCTGCTGGAAAATGACACCTTTACGATCGACCAATTCTGGTCGCTTTTCCTTGACCGCTGCATTCAATTTGTCCAGTTGCTAACATTCACGGATAATAAAAAATAACATAATAATAATAATAATAATTTTATAATATAACATTTACGGATATCATAAAAATGGGAGTGAGAGACATCTATAACTGAAATCGGCAATTACTTAGTTGCCAACCCAATATATTATCAAAACCTCCTCGTTGAGACCGAAGCTAATCCTTTTATTGGTTTCAATATTAACACTATGCCGTCCGGTGGCACCACGCTGGTGCCATGCAAAAACTATCCGTTGTATGCCGGTGGTACCACTTTGGTGCCATTTTAGGAAACCGAAATAACATTTGAACTATACTTCTTGGGCGTTAAAAAAGTCAGCAAGCTAACTATAGCATTGTGGTCGCTTTTCCTTGACCGCTGCATTCAATTTGTCCAGTTGCTAACATTCACGGATAATAAAAAATAACATAATAATAATAATAATAATTTTATAATATAACATTTACGGATATCATAAAAATGGGAGTGAGAGACATCTATAACTGAAATCGGCAATTACTTAGTTGCCAACCCAATAGACGCGAACGATACGCGTAAATGAAGTCGGACGGGTTACACCGGATAATTGACTTGTATCGGATAAATGGAGAACAATTGAGCTATATCCTCGGAGAAAGTGTTGCATCTGGGACGAAGCATCGCACGGAAACGTCTCGGACCTCTCGATCGCTCGGTAGGCCTAGGCCTTAGGCCTTGGGCCCCGGGGCTCCTGGCTCAGGGCCGAGGGCTCGCAATCCGGGACTCTCGATGCCCGTGGTTCCGCGTGCAAGAAATCCGCAGCGGCGATTCCAGCAGTTACCGTTGGTTGCGCAACAACACGGCCGATATCGAAAACGGTGCTCGTTGCGCTCGCGACGCAATACGCTGCTTGTTTGTTCGTGCGAACACTCGACGCTCGACGCTCGACGTTCGCCGCTCGACGCTCGCCTCCACGCTTTCCGAAGATGCTCGCGAGCGTAACCGCGACGCGAGTCGCTGGCTCGTCGATTACGAGCCGGTGATTTCACTGCGTGGTCGTGTGAAAGTCAGAATACATCCGGTCCTTTACAGTTTACAGCCGACGCAAGAAAAACACGGACTCGTGCACGTTCTCGTTGCATCGTGCTGTGCCTTTACCGCCTGTACATGCCGACGCTGACGCGACGATACAGTTGCGTCTCCTACCTCTACACTGTACGCTTCACAGTCTGCGAACTTGTCCGTGTTTGACTTTCAACCACTTGCTTCGCGATATTCTACAGGGTGTCCCAAAAATGTCTCGCAGAAATGGCGGGTTCCTCGGATCATTTGAAGCAGCTTCTTCCTTTACAAAAATGTTCTCCGAGGCACCGTTAACGAGTTATCAATGAAAAACAGGGACCAATAAGAATCGAGTACGGCTGACGCGAGGCGGCCCAGCCAACCAGCGCACGAAGCCCAGTTCCGCTCATTGGCTCGGTCGCCTCGCGCCAGCCGAGCTCGCCTCTCATTGATCACTGTTTTTCGTTGATAACTCGTTAACGGTACCTTGGAGAAAATTTTTGTAAAGGAAAAAGTTGCTTCAAATGACCTGGGGAACCCGCCACTTTCGGATTGCGAGACATTTTTGGGACATCCTGTATACTCTATAATATCGGGTTGGACGAAGATTTCGAACACGATCTACCGGATGTGGATGTTGTTCGTAGATTGTAAATCGAAATCAAATTCTGCCCCTTCTAGGTCTTTTCGAGGTCGTCGAATTTTTCAATCAAATATTCTGAAACGGTATCGTCGACGATAGCTTGCAAAATATTCGTTTATCTTGTTTACGAGTTCGTTCTGAAAATAAATCGTCAATTATCGGTGCGACGTCGTACAAGTAATGTCTCCCCAACTGACGCTCAGATTGTCCCCAAAAATGGATAATTTGGGAAGAGGAGATACGATTATTCGAGTCTTGCAGCTCGTTTTTATAATTGTTGAAAATCGGTGACTATAAAAACGAGTCGCAAGGCTCGAATTCGCAAGGCTCCTCTTCCCAAACTGTCTATTTCTGTGGAAAATCTGAGCGTCAATTAGAGAGACATTATTGTACACTAATGTCTCCCTTACTGACGCTCAGATTCTCCACTAAAATGAATAATTTGGCTTCCCAAATTTATCTCTTCTTCAAGAGATACGATTATTCGAGCCTTGCCGCTCGTTTTTGCAATTGTGGACAATTTATAACTATAAAAATAAACCGCAAGGCTCGAATAATCGTATCTCCTTTTCCCAAATTGTCCATTTTTCTGCGCAGTCAGGCCGTCAATCAGAGAGACATTACTGTACTTGGAAAGTTTTCGTTGCAATTAGGATACCGAGTGACAGCGATTGTATTTTTCGTCGCCTTCATTATAAAGCAGATCTTACCGGAGTTCGGTGTAACGCGAACGTAAAGATTGTTCGAAAAAATCATAGTTGCAGGATCATGTATTTGGTTGAAAACGCGGCACGAGTCCGTCGAAATGGACGCTCGTGACGTAGAGCTCGACGTTCGAAAGCAACTGTTGCGTGCAACGCAGAGGGCCCGGACAACTTGCAAATTGCGAATTACGAATTCGCCGAAATACGATGCTCCCGAGCTCGAGTTTATTCCAAACCGAAAATTTACTGCATAGCTTTGGGGAGAAAATCGTACTCCGCGCCCGCTATATCGTAACATTTGCGGGCCCTTTTGTTCCCAGGTGGTGCGATACTCCGCGGATATTCCCGAATATACCCGAACGATATTTGCCCCCCGTCGAAAATAATTCCACCCGTGATCTCACGATTATTTATGTTGACACAAGCTCATGGTTTTCTACATGTGTGATCTCACTGTCTGCATTATAGGTGTACCCACGTCGCCGTCATCCTGACCTGCCCGAGAAATCCTCATGAAAGACTGGGAACTCAGTACTCAGAATAGCATCGGTATTGTAGCCATTTCTTTTTTTATTTATTCCTCTTCTGTTTCTGCTTCTGCCTCTGCCTCTGCCTCACTTTCAGTTTTCGATTTCCGTTTTCTTTCTGTTTCTCCACTTTCTTCACGTTTCCTTCGAACGATTCGTAATCGATTCGCGACTACTACGTATTACTTTTCCTATCTTTCTACGTTTCGCGAAAGTTTTTTCATCTCTCGTTTAACGGAACGTTTACCGTCTGGATGCAGGCTGGCCGTAGTTGCAGCGCTGCGCCGGTAACGAAAGGTGTAAACGAACACGACGCCGTTATCCAGAGAAAAGTTTTCCAATTTATCGATTCGGCATTTCGCGCGACAAAAATGCTTCGAATAATTTTCGATTTTTCGATTCAATGTTTTGCTCGGTATTCTTGTAGCTGTTTCGTTGACGACAACGAAATCGAATTATGCGAATCTACGCGAAGGATCGAGTAACGTCCGTGCATACGGTATGGTGGTGGTGGACGAGCTTCTAGAAACCGGGAGAACGTTGTTTTAGGATCCCCGGCCCCCGGCAAATAGTGCGAAAAATGCAGTTTGTACAAGGTACGTCAGCCATCTTTTCTGATAAGAGTTTTCGATAAAAAACGGTTCGTCTTTTTTGTAAGCTTTTCAGGCATCGTAGATTCGGTAGACGCGGAATAACGAAGTACGCCGCGAGAGCCGAGGCATAAAGCGCCCTCGTGCACGCTGGAATAGCGTGTTCGTATAACCGATTACAGAAATTCATGTTCGGCAAAGAGTGCGTTCCGCAAACTTCGGGAATAATATTTCGATCCGCGTAGCCGGCCGGCGATTTGTCTAAGAAAAACACGTTAAACGCATTAAACGCATTAAATTCTCGTCGGCGGGGTTGGATAAAAATGTGAAGAAACCGAAGCTTCTTATTTTCTGTGGCCGTTCCGAGTAACAGCGAAATTAAATCAAGTATTTTAGTCGTTGCGCGATAAAATAGTCGCATTTAATAACGCTTTAAAAATATTCCACTTTGGAAAAAGTTACCCCGAGTTATCCCCCCACTCAAATGGTGATCGGTATACAGGGTTTCCCAAAAATGTCTCGTAAACCGGAAATGAGGATGTTCCTGGGACCATTTCAAGTAACTTTTTCCTTAGCGAAAATGCAACCCGTGGCTTCGTTTACGAATTATTAACGAAAAACACTGACCAATGAGAGGCGAGCTCGCCTAGCGCTTGGCGACCGAGCCAATGAGCGCACGAAGCCCAGTTCCGCTCATTGGCTCGGCCACCTTGCGCCAGCATTATCTCACCTCTCATTGGTCACTCTTTTTCGTTAATAACTCGTAAACAAAGCCACGGATTGCATTTTCGCCAAGGACAAACTTACTTGAAATTACCTCAGGAATCTTCCATTATCGGATTGCGAGACATTTTTGGGAGACACGCTGTATTATAATGTCCACTGCGTTTACCAGAAACAAATGAACACGTGATTCGGTGACGCCTAAATAAGTAAGAAACTGTATCGTAGATGCGGATAGCGGGCAAGTGCCGTGGAACCCGGCCAGAAGGTCTCCTTTCGAGCGAATCGATTCAATTAACCAGTTAGCTGTGCTCGACGAGTATACTCGTCACGGAGAAATGGCGATACTTTGTGACACGACGAGTATACTCGTCGTGCGTAAGAAGTAATGGCCATTGGCTATTTAAATTGTAATTTTAAGGAAAACAAAAACATGTTCTCAAATTTCAAGATGTTCAGAATATTTTCAGGCCAATCCTGCGGGAAGTTGTTTACATTGTTATAAAAATTAAATTAGAAAAGAATCACGGTATCGGTGTTCGACGTGCAAAGTGCCATTACATATTGTTCCTTGCTTTGCTAAATACCGCTCTCTCTCTACAGTAGCAATTTGAATTTTTAACTTTTATAAGTATCCGATTATCCCTGGGTTTTTCGTTTATCATGTATATGGTATATGTTAACTTCAAGCGAATGAGTAAATATTAGTGATAAAATTGTCAATTTTATCGAATAAAACCGTCTTTTCGATCCAATATTTTAACAGCGACGCTTACATCGCGTTCGACGAGTATACTCGTCGTCGCTCGATTCGTCGCGACACGTAGCGCTGCGCGCTCTGAAACGGAGGCGCCGCAGCTAACTGGTTAAAATATCGTCTCGCGGGTCGACTCTGTCATTTCGTTCTCACCCTGTGTCCAAATAGACACGGACGATCGGAAGTTCTGCACCGAGAATCGTATCGGGTCCCGATTCTGGATTTCGGATTTCGGATTTCGCTTTCTGGGTGCCGTAAATACAGCAATCTGGCAACGTCTCGTCGCGTTTTTAACGTAAACTTTTCGATCGCGAGTAAGAAAGTGAAAGAAAGCGAAGCGAAGCGAAAGAAGGAGCCGGCGCGAAATCACCGATAATTGTCCTCGTTGGCCGGCTTCCGGTTCTCCGTCGGATCGATCGCCGTGGAACCGAGGGTTGGAGCAGCAAGTTGGACTGCGGACGCTTCAACGGTCGTCTTTTCCTCGAATTCGCAACGGATCCTCCCGTTTCTCTCGCACTTTCTATCCCTCGCTGTCTCTCTCTCTCTCTCTCTCTCTCTCCCTCTCTCTCTCTTATTCATTCACCCATTCACTCTTCCTCTGTTGCTCGAAGCCGAGAGTGGCCGCAACCGCGAATTACTTCGCAATTTCCCGAAATTGCGCAATCCGTGCAGGCTAATGGCCACCAGGCTGTTTCTGGTCGGCCAGCCGGCCGGCTACGGTGGGGAGACCGTGTCGGGGTCGGGGGTCTCGTGTACGCCGCGAGCCGCGAGGGATGGACCCGTGGTGGGAGGCGGATGCGAGGGGACCATTAATTAAGCAAAATCATAAACTCGCCGGCGCGCTATGGGGCAATCGCACGGTCGAACGCTGTAAAAAGTCATTCGATGAAAGCATGCTTACGGTAAAGGAAATTTTGACCAATATTTCAACTACGCCAATGTCGTCCCTAACTGACGCACAGATCGTGCACGAAAATGGACAATTTGGGAAAAGGAGATACGATTATTACGCGGCTTTTATAATTGTTGACAATTCGTAACTATAAAAACAATCTGAGCGCCGATTAAAGAGACATTACTGTAGTCGTACGGATTACAGTAATGCCTCCCTTACTGACGCTCGGATTGTGCGCCAAAATGGACAATTTGGGAAGAGGGGACACGATTGTTCGAGCCTTGTAACTCGTTTTTACAGTTGTTGACAATCGATAACCATAAAAAGCGAGCACAAGGCTCGAAAAATCGTATCTCCTTTTCCAAGATTGTCCATTTTTGTGGACAATCTGAGTGTCAATTAGGGAGACATTACCGTACAGTAATGTAATGAATACGAAATTATGTACCGATGAGAAATGATTTATCGATTCGATTTTATCGGTTCGCCTCGTATACCGCGTCGGGCAGCAAAAACGATTCCTTGGAAAATACCAAGTACAGTAATGTCTCCCTTACTGACGCTCAGATTGTGCACAAAAATTGACAATTCGAGGAGAGGAGATACGATTATTCGAGCCTTGCAGCTCCTTTTTATAATTGTTGAAAATCGGTGACTATAAAAACGAGTCGTAAGGCTCCTCTTCCCAAATTGTCTATTTCTGTGGACAATCTGAGCGTCAATTAGAGAGACATTACTGTACAGTGAGGTCTCCCTTACTGACGCTCAGATTCTTTACTAAAATGAATAATTTGGGAAGAGGAGATACGCGCGCGATTATTACGCGGCTTTTATAATTGTTGACAATTCGTAACTATAAAAACAATCTGAGCGCCGATTAGAGAGACATTACTGTAGTCGTACGGATTACAGTAATGTCTCCCTTACTGACGCTCGGATTGTGCACGAAAATGGACAATTCGGTAAGAGGAAATACGATTATTCCGCCTTTTTTACTATGTTTTTATAATCGTTGATAATCGGTAACTATAAAAACGAGTCGCAAGGCTCCTCTTCCCAAATTCTTTAACCTCAAAGTAACGTAACGTTAATATCTTTAAAACGTAATAATTTACAATCTGTTTCGTCTTCGTATGTAACCTTTACAGAATTACGTAGAGGAAGGTATCCTGAAAATATATCGTTTGTCCGAAACTGTGAGTCCTTGGGTGTCAAAAGAAATTTCTTGTCGAATGTAAAGAATTTTTACACTTTTTGTATTTTATAAAAACATTATATCTTTCATATATAGGATACAATAATCTTAATTTAAGCTACTGCTTCCTAACGAGAAATATTGCCTCCTAATGTTAAAAAAGAGAGAGAGAGAGAGAGAAAGCAAAGGAAACAATTAATCAGGTTTGTCAGGACATTGCGAGGAAAAGAAGCATATTTTTTGGCGACAAATGTAGTGCTCAAAATGTTCAACTTTAAATTGTCGTATCCGTTACAATTTATGATCATTTTTATTAATATTCCCACTTTCGAGGGTAATAGTATTGCCTCCTAATGTTAAAAAAGAAAGCAAAGGAAAAAATTAATTAAGTTCGTGAGGACATTGCGAGGAAAAGAAGCATATTTTTTGACGACAAATGTAGTGCTCAAAATGATCAACTTTAAATTGTCGTATCTATTACAATTGGACATTTAACAAGTAATAAAAATTGACCGGACATATATATGAGAAAATTAGGTTTTTGTCAAAAAGTCACCGAAATCTTCGATCCGGCTCACTGCGTGGCGTCCACGGGGCACGAATTGTTTTTTACCGCGTGTGGCGCACTCCTTGCCCACAGCGGCGCGGGGTGGCTTTGCCTGGTCTCGGTTAGATCCGATCTAGTCTGGCTTGGCCTGGTTCGACTCGGTTTTCGGCTTGACGCAGCGCGGCGCGAATTAGCGTCCGGGAACGTGGTTGAATCGAAAAAACGCGAGGACCGTTACTTTCACGAACGAAACCTCGCGGTGTTTTACGCGCGCCGCGCGATGCACTGCTCTCCATCGACTGCGTCGCGATGCAG